TTGCTGCGATTGACAAGGAGTCATCTGTAATATAAATCCTCTCGTTGAACTGAAACTGCATCTGATGGAAATATAGCAAGAATAAAGATCCAATTTGGATATTTGCCTTATTAAGGCTAATAAAATAGCTAGTAGGTGTATTAAATAACAGGTACTGATAATTAACACCACATCATCCATATATAGCCATCTTAACATTGCAATAATGTCAGCATTAAATGGTCCTCTTAATTGATTTGATCAAGATGAAAAATAGTACCATGACATTGTGACACATCGTCTAGGGATGACGAATCAGCAGAATCAGTATCGCCCTGCTTTCTCTGTGAAAGATGTTCATCGTTTGGTGGTGCTTTTCTATCCATCGGATTCAACACTAACTCTTCCGACAGCGACTCAATTCGTGGTCTGCAAACAGAGAAACATAAATATGAATTCAAATGGGAATTTATGCCCAAACTTTGTACACAAAAATACGATATTTCCTTCTTTTCTCAAATATTATACTTTCACTTTTTATTTTAAATCAAAATAAATTCAAGCACACATTGTTTTTCAACAAATCTTTTATGTCTTCCGCAATAAATCAATCATATATCTAAATTGTTGTCTATCTTTTATAAAATCTTTCGAAATCCACAGTTTTTTCTTATTCGTAGATGTTTACGACCGAATTGCTTCAGCGGTAATTCTTAAACCTACACTTTAAAAATTGGGTCAGCACTTTGATGACTCATTGTAACTTTAATCAGAATCCTTGAATTATCCTGACGTTGATTTATTCCATAACCATCTAGTAGGTATGAACGAGTAATTCCCTCAACGCCCGATGCAGCAAACTGTGATAAATTGATGTCAACGAAGCCAAGTTTCGAATACGATTTCCCACCCTTTTGCTCCTAAAAAAAAAATACTGCTGCTGCAGAAATCTTGCTAAGTCATATTGGTACCAGTTAAAACTCTCAAAGATAACGGAAATAAATTTGTTAAAAAAATCACTTCAATATCAACATATCCACGATTGTTGGAACACTTAACTCAGAATATCAACCAATAATACATTAAGCAATGAGTAGCTAGACGGTTAATGCCACGAATTTTTTTTTAGAAGACTACGAATGGTTAAAAAGAATGCACGATTACATTTATGCTTTATTCGTCGTAATTTTTACAGTCATGCTTATACTTTATGCATCATTACTTCTTTCAAATAATGAATGATTCAATTTGTCACTTATTATTGTCTATCTTACCTTACGAAGCGAAATTCTGCACGCACATCTTTCAAGGACACCCGTCAAAGGATCCGGTGCAATGCGACATAAAAAATTGAAATGACTATTCCAATTAGCTGAATGATTAAGCACTTGGACACGCTCCGTTACACCTTCAAATGTACCACCATTCAATAAGCGAACCTGTAAAACAGGTATAAATTATTGCCTACAAGTTATGAAACCATAATTTTTTTCACAGTTTTTGCTCATATGAAAGCTAAAATTTGTCAACCCAACTCATATTTAATCATTATTATACCTTAGCAAAAAGAACAGCATTAACCAATGGTACGTCACTTAAATGCAGAAGTTCCAAGTCAACATGAAATTTATATCCACGTCGTTTAAGGAAAGCCATTGCACCATCAAATGAATAGCGTCCAGTAACACTAACAAACCGGATTACTCATTCAAATCGAAGTGCACCTGAAATATCGATTATAAGATTACTTCATACTCCATCCCTTAAATGATGAACAATAAATCTCGTGATTTTGCCTAGAGGAAAGTTCGGAGAACCGAATAATCTACTACTAATGCTACTACTACTATTACTACTACTGTTACCTTCTACTATTCCAGTATATGCGTCACATAAGATTATTATATAGACTTTGCCATATCTCGTGTAATAACTGTGCGAAAAGTACAAACGAGATAATGAAAATGGCAGTAAAAAAGATTAAATGTGCCTTTTAGTTTATTACAAATTTGGAATATTAACTATATAATATATGAATAAAGCTTCTACGTAATAATTTATGGCATGTTACTTAACCCAGCCATTTTTAACTTTTTGAAATAATGTATCTCTCTGCTGATATTATCAGTTAAAATCTCCCATTAACATTTCATTATTACTCAATGAAAATGATAAATAACTGCATAAAGCAAAACAATGTAACAAACCAACGTGAACATATGATATGTGATATAACTCAAATATGTATCCTTTAGCTATAAAATGCAAATGAAAAGATAAAGTGTTATACGCATCACAAAAATTACTTTAATAGATGAAATAAACATGTTGCCAAATAAAAGTTAACGTAAACTACGTGAAAATCACATGCATTACTTCATACATCTAAAAGATATCTCATCATCCAAACAAATAATCCATATTACCATATTCAACTTGAAGTAACAAATGAGCTAACGGATAATGGTAGTTACAGGTAAAGTTATTAGACCGCCTTTGTTACATTACCGGACATCACAGGAATCATTTTAACTGAAATATTCGTATATAAGAAATAATACTTACGCCTAGAAAACCACGTAGTTTTGCAGAGGAGAAAAAACCTGAACACGTGATGAGGATAGGAACCACGTGGAAGAGGAAAGGAAATAGACATCGGCCAATTCAACCGTAAACATTCATGGGAATTTTAATAATAAGTATCGGCCGGCCAGGAAATACCGGCTCTGTTTTTCCAATCACAGTTTGGGAAATCTCGGGAAGAAGGTTAGGGTGTCAGACAAGTCAATTATGTTTTTTTTTTTTAAATACACGATTATTATCAACGTATATGAAGGAAAGAGCTATTACCCTTTGCTACAATATTTAAATGTCATATTAGAAGAGTGCGTGATATTACGTGGAAGCGTTCATAACATATTACGTGGAAGTGTTCACAATATACTACGTGGAAGTGTTCACAACACACTACGTGAAATCGCGTTCACAACATACTACGTGGAAGTTTTGGCAACATATTATATGGGAACGCAAACATAACGTGATATAAATTGCACTCATTACACGTCTTCAATTAAACAGTATTTTTCTCAACGTAACGTATATCTAAACGAATAGATGTCTGAATATAGGAATCATTTCGAATGAAAGTCGACCAATAGATAATTATCAACAAACCACTTATTATCTTTCTCATTAAGCAACTTTGCTAATTGAAACATTTTCTAATTGATAGATTAACTTAGGTAAATAAATGCAGTAGAAGGACATAGGATATATGAATGATGACGATAGCATTTGTTATCTATGGTTACGCGACATAAAATTAATATTGGTTTTTTTCTGTCTAAATAGAAGTATTATTTGATAATGAGGAAAATAGTAATAATCATCAGAGGGATAATATCTTCTGAATTACTAAAAGATCAATCTTCCCAAATCTTTCATTTGATCTTATCTGAAATCTTTGCACATTACGATGTCCCAAAGAAATATCATGAATTCGGGATATTTGTAATTTAGGATATCGCGGGACTTGATTAAATGAATGAAAATTTTATCCAAGACAACGACAATTGATACACATTGGATATATTGTGTATAAATTGATGACATATTTTGGAATTTCATTAGCAATTTCGTTGCAGAATTCTAATTTATTTGTCCTATTATAAATAGGTTAATAGAGCAAATCATTATTAAATTATTGGAAGTATTATTACAAATCTTAGGAAAATTCTTGGAAAAAATTATCATTTATTAAAAAATACAAATTAATTGCCTATCAATTTGTATCATGTTTCCTTCTTCCTCTTTTTTTTTCTCTCCAATTTCTTCTGTCATTCTAATTTCTTACCCTATCTTAATTTATCCTTTTATTTATTTTTCTCACTCATTCCTAATCTTCGCTCCTTCTCTCTTATTTCTCATATCAAAATATTGAAGAAATTTAAAATGTATTATAAAACAATATACTTTATAAAAAAAACAAATGTAAAAGTTAATTTCACATATATACATAATCTATAAAACAAACACACATCAATAATAAGTGAATAGATAAATTTCATTTGCAATAGAGCAAAATAAAGGGATAATTTAAGAAAACATTCAAAGATGAAACAACCACGCCAGTTTTACTAGTTTCGCCATTTATACTTCATTTTCTCTCAAGTACATCAACTAGATCGATCATTACAGCATTATTATGTATGTGTATGTTAGCATGTCTGTTAAACATACACAACCGACATGCATTTGTTTATCAACTGTATGTCGGTTGTGTATGTTTCTATCATATTTTTTTAGCACTTTTTTTTTTTTGAAGAAAGCGGAGAAATGGAAGGAAGGAAGAAAGGGAGAAGGATAGAAAGTTATCGAAATACCGGTCCAAAGTAAAGGATTCAAGGAAAATTCCACTGATACAACAGAATAGGGTAAATGGATGAAAAAGCCTGTTGTGAAAATGAGTAATGCGAGATACATTGTTGACAATAGTTATTTAGTTCTTTTTCCTTTCCTTTAATTCTCTTTTCTTTCCTTTAAAAATATTTCATTTAACACCAGTAATGAAATTAAGAAAACAAGAAAAAACACAACTCATCGCTTATCAGGAAATGATCGGATAGACCGAAGACTTGTACATGATTTAACTAAATCGACTGACCAAATATGTTATCTAACATGATAACAATCTTCATTCTTTTTTGTCTTCTGTTAACATCAGTCAATATTTGAACCGCTTACTGAGTAACGCAAGGACAGAGAGATGGTGTTTAGTTAGGAGTGTACATATTGTATAACATCAACAATAACACAGGTTGAAATAGTTCAAGAAAGCAAATAAACGAGACTACACGTAGTTCCATCATACTGATTCTTAGTCCGATCATACTGGTTCTTATAAGACAGATTTTTCGGGAAATGCTTATCACATATAATAAAGTTAAATAATTAAACAATTTATGGTGTCCCCATGAAGGTAACACAGAAGGAAACATACACAGGGAATATGCCTACTGATCATCAATAGGCTGTCTAATTTTGATCGCTGTCACATACACAGGGAATATGCCTACTGATCAACAATAGGCTGCCTAATTTTAGTCGCTGTCACATCACAGCGAATATGCCTACTGATCATCAATAGGCTGTCTAATTTTAATCGTTGTCTTCCTCTTTCTGAATTCGATAGGCCCATTTATCTTCTTTCGTTTTATCATTGCACTTTTACCGCTAAACGTGATGATATCTTCTGGTGGTAACAAAGATTCACTGGTTCGTTTTCGTCCTTGTTCTTCAATAGGTAACTCCCAGTCCCTGAAAAACAAATAAGCCATCTGATATGAGCTTTATTAGTTTATCGATAGACAGCACAACTGACTATTCCTTGAAACAAAAGACGCTTTGAGTGTTTCACCACATGCAGAAAGCTCTCATGATGACCAACTCTGAATCAATAACCAATAATATTTTCTGACCAAATTAAATTTTGATGTCGAAACATTCTTTATAAAACTACCACGTATGTTACGCCATTACCCCATACCTGCTATATGTCTGTTTTATCAGTAACTTCTTAAATCACGAAAAACCAAAGAGAACTTACACTTTTGGTTTCTCCGGAACTTTCTCTACCGGTACCCATGGACCGTACGGACCCAATCGTGGTGGCTCCTTTTGCTCTACAATCTTTTCAGTAATTCCTTCTTGCGTTTCATTTTTAACATCAATACTTTCTTCTCCGGCATTCGAATAGTCACCTTGAATATGTTTATCGCAGTTGTTTTCTTCTAACGGCTCCTCTTTCACCGTCAAATTTAATGCTATTTTCTCTTGCTCTGAATCCTGTAACAGAAAGTATGCTGACAGAACAGCTCAAATAAGCATCAAAATAAATTTAGTCTGCAAATCTTCATGATAATTTCTGCCGACTTCTCCGATATAAAGCTTTGAAAAATGACCGGCTTCATCGAAGATAATTAAGAAACAAAGAACGAAAAACGGACACAAGGGAAATCGATGCAAAAATAGCAGAGCGAACCAGCAAAAAACAAGAGATATTCCTAAAAATTGCTACCTGAGAAGATGGAGGTAAAGGAATGTCATATTCACTGACAACGAAATTTGCAGCATCCATTTCTGGATCGAATTTCGTGATTTGCAGTTTTTCAGATGAACATCCTCGCACCTCATTCATGGCAGTTGATTGACAAGAACTTGGATGTTGAACGTCTGAAGAAATGAATCGCATCAAAGAAACAAATACAAACTTAAACTTGAATTAAATGAATAAAATAATAGTGTACAGGAGATGAAGTAATGTTCAGAAGGTAACTTACTTGACGGGACTTCTGCACTTTGTTCTTCTGGAATTGCTTTCTTAGTCTCATTCTGTGAAGGGGTTTGCGGTATCTTTGACATCTTACAAACCCCTGAAGTTTCCTGTTGTCCCCAATGACGACGTGGTTCTGCAAACTGATTCTTAGCGCTATTATTTGAATTGCTGTTGTTGAACCATCTCATGAGCATTCTTTGGATGAAGCAGGAGAGGTTAAGAGACTAGTAGAGAGAGAAAACAAAAGGTTTTCGAAAATTAATTAACAAAGGAAACGGGATAACGACACTTAACAAATTCCCTTAAAATATGCATCAAACATACCTGATTTCAATTTATTTGGTTCAGTAACCTGGTTTTTAGCCATTGCGTCAGTTTTATTCTCCATCATAGCTAGTTTCATGGCATACTGCTCCGCTGTGTAGTAATTTTGGGGTTGTTCCCAAACGGTTACTATAAAAGAATTAAATCAAGTGAGCAAGATATGAGAAAGTGAAGGGAAGAATACAAGGAAATAAAATGCAAATCAGTAAATAAAAATGAAAAGACAAACAAGCAGGCTAGACATTAATTAATAACAAGTCAGTCTATAAATCATACCTCCGCTGTACATATGAAAATAATATAATGCACCATTATCCGCCCTAGCTTCAACCCAAACTGTTTCACTTTCCGGATCACTTTTCTCATTTTCTGCTTTGTGTTCTACTTTTGTTCGTTTCAATTCCTGCTGAAAACGGCGATTTCCGTAGTAACATGATCAAAATGTATTGTATATAACTAATCCAACTTATACAACGTAATTTGGACAGATTCTCGAATCTCTGCATTAACTACAAAGAAATCAACCTCCTTCCTATGTTGCGCCATCTGGCGAGCCATCTCAGCGATCGAAGCACTGTGTGCTCGTGGATCCATATATTTTTTCGGTTTCGGCATTGGGCCAACTATTCCGGCTGAAACTTCATTTTACACCAGTTACCCTGACCATAATCAAATATATTGCCATATCTTGCTCCAATCGCTTACAAACCAACTTAATTTCTAATTTCGGCATAAAACAAAAGTATTTACGAACCCGAAGGGCATGAGTCACCAATCCCCATACTTTTGCTTGCTGCGGATTCCATCATCGCCAGTGTAACTTGCAGATCACTTTGCTGCAAATTTGAATTGTTGCATCAAGTTTACATAATTCAAAATAAAGTGTAAGTACAGAGTACTAAATCTGACTGTTTTCCAACAACATCGTTTTTTCTGCCATTTCATTTTTGAAATATTTCCCTAGAACGTCTTTTTATTCTTATTTGTTTAGAAAATATACCGCTATTTGTTAAACAAAGAGACGAAGCAATCATTCAACATAAGCAAATTGCTAGGTATTATAACCTCTTTTTCCTTTTGTTTGTTTTGTTTACCAAGCTCTCGTAATTTAGCCTGTATAGCAGCTTTATGCTTTTGTCCTCCTTCATGATGCTCTATACTGACTCGATTGTCCGCAAACCATACCTGCAAATAACACAGAGGTTCATTCACCTTGATTTCTTCAGCAGTACAATACAATGGAATTGAAAGCCTCCCAAGTTTATTCTTCCATTCGTAGAATGAATTTTAGTTTCCTATTGTAACACAAGGAATTATCATCCAACTGCAAAAAATTAGAAAAAAAATGTGAAATAAAACAAAAAGAAGAACGAAGAAACTGCCATTGTAGAATCCATCTTCCTTCTAATCACACTATTTATCACTGCTAACAAATCACTCCTAAATCATTTTTAATCACTCGTTACTGTTGTAAGAATTACAATAAACTTGAATTACTTACTTTACATATCTCGCAAAATCTTCTTGCATTTGACTTCCAAACATCCGTCATTTTTCGTATCAAACGCGTACAACGGTAGATTCCAGATAATGTATAATTTTACCGTCTAACTATGCCTCGATAACTTTGCGCATGCTATAATGGTGACAGACAAATACTTGACTACTACAGTGAGGTAAATATGAATCCCAACAGAGCGATCAAATTGACTAAATCTCGACAGAAGCTCAAATAACACTTCCAAACTACTCACTCACTTCAAGCCAGAACGCGTTGGAAAGACAAAAGTCGGCCTTGCGGCCGATAATTTTCTCACCGTGAAAACATCTGTACCTTCCCTTCCAGAGCGGCCGATAATTTGTCTTACTGTGAAGTCATTTGTACCTTCCCTTCCAGAATATCCGAAAATGCAAGGCAGAACATTCTGCATGCTTCTGAAGAAGACATAGGAGATAAGATTCAGAGCTGGTATGGAACAGTTAGCAAAATTAAACGTTAAGCAAGATATTGTGCAAATAGTGTGCAAATATTGTGACTTATCTTCCTCTTTATTAATATTAACATTTTCAAAAATTTTGAAATTTTACTTCTGATTGAGAAACATTATTCATAAACCATGTATAATTGGTTGAGATAAATGCAGTAACCAAATAAAAGATCACATAGGCAGGACATTTTGCTTATGAACAGAAAGTTGTAAAAGGTCGGGGGTAAGTCTCACAAAACAACAAAAATGCACATTTCAACACGGAAGGGAGAGCAATCTCAATTGGATAATGTCAAAGGATGCAATAGGGTACATTCTTGGAAGCTTCAAATAAGCTGATAAGACACTATTAATAGATGCTACTGAATGACTAAGCTTAGCGATCCGAATTAATACTTTGGATTGATACTTCCGTGGATCTTTCACGTGATTTACAACCCGTTATATGTTTTACGGATAGTTTGTTATTAATTACAGCAATTGATATCAACGGCGAGAGGACTGGAAATTTGCAAAAATTAAATTATTACAATAGTGATGAAAGATCGTTAGCAAGAAGTGAGGTTCAATATTTTTCGATCCACTATTATTTATATGAGGATTATAATGGATCATAACTGTTCGGATCCACATTAGGCTCTCCATCCAAAAAATCTCTGGCACTCAACATTTCGGTACCTTTACGAACACTTCCTTTGTCGAATTTACCTTTGTTAGAGGTAACTTTATCGCTCTTTCTGCTTGACGGCTTTTTCGTTGAAGAGGATTTCGTTTTTGATTTTGGCTTCATATCGATAGTCCTATTAACAATTCTTGCTTTCTGCAATAAAATAAGGATCAAGAAGATATGAGTTACAAAGTGCTTAATCTCAGCGATGAAGGATGACTCCGATAATTAATCCCAGGAGGCGAGGAAACTGTTAAAGAGGTGCTATGAGCGACCTAAATCGAAAAGTGCAGTTTTTCGAATTATACTTGAGAAAAATTAATTCTCACCGATTCATTTGTATCATCTTTTCCCGTACAGGGCTCATCAGTTCTGGTAGAGATAATAGGATGACGCCCAATCTCGTCTTCACTTTCTGAATCAGCAGGTATAGAAGCAACCAAAGGATTTGGGCCTGATTCATCTGGCTCTCTATATATTATTTCTGAAAAAAGGAATTTCACAGCTAACAATCCATGAATGCTCCACCTTCGATTTTAAATGAATAACAGCAACGTTAGTCATACTTGTGTCTTTTTTTGCATCACAAAAAGAAGAAACGTTAGAAAAAAAAGACCTGTATTATCCTTCATATCATCGGCATCGTTAAGCCAAGCATCTAAATCATCATTCGAAGATTCCGGATACATTTTATTGTCGGAGACTTCCTTTTGAACGCTTTCAGCTATGCTATCTGCTGAATTACCAATCGGTAATTTGTATGCTAAAAAATATTCGTTAGAACGAAAAATGCAGAAAACTAAATGCATAAATAAGTAAGTAAGCATACACAATTATTGTATCAAAAGATACCCATCGGTGTCTGTGGTTCATGTCTCAGTTTGTCGGGTGACTGTAAGCCAGAACTGTTCAATGTCATCGTTCGTTTTCGTGCTATGCTCATTTTCCCAATTTCCGATTCGTCCTCAGATGGTACATCTTCTTCGTACGTAGTCACCATATTATTCACTTCTCTCAACAAACAAATAATCAATTGAATACTCATTACAATTCTGAATGAAATAAACGAACTTACTCATCGCTATTACCCATGTGATTCGATAAGGTGTCGTTTATAGATGCGCTTTTGTTTATTATCCACTCACTGTTATCTGCTTGTAAGGGTGGTAAGGTGACCGAAGCATCCGAATGATTTATTGAATTTGCTAAAAAAAAAATTTGTTGAATTTTTAAAATGGCGAGGAAATATGTAGTGGAAAACCTCGGGTAACTTCTTCAAAGGAAACCAAATTGACGTACCTGAATGACTTCTGATGGAGGAGGGAGATGCAACGTTTGGTGAAGGCGTAGTGACATTAGATGGTAGGCAAGCCGGAGAATGACAATTCGGACCAAATGGTATTGGTCGTCCTTCACCAAATGCTAATCCGCTCTTTGCTCCATCAGATACTGGTATGGGAGCAACTTTTTCAGCGGCAAGACGTCGACGTGTTGCTATACTTTCCATAAATCTGCTATGAATGATTATGAGTATGGAAAACAGGTTATGAGTATAAAAATTACAAAGGACAAATAAAATTGGGAATATAAAAGAAAGATTACTTGTCATAGTTGGCATCCTGTGTTTCCTCATACATATCCAGTTCATCGAAACTTAACTCGATATCCCGTCGATTAGTCTTTAATTGACCAATAAGCGTTTCTCGCTGTGATAAAAAAAAAAGTAGTGAATATTTTGCAGTTATTTTGAGCAAAACCTATTAGCATTTCGCTCTATTGCTTCCATTTTCCTTATTTAGATGGATAAATGCTTAGTTCCATTAAAAAAAACTAATTAGTAAGTTATTAATTAAATTCAATAGTTCAATTCAGTTAAATTAAATGGTTTGGCCGAAACTAAGATACAATATTAGTCGATTTAATTTAAATTAATTTAAAAGAGAAGTAAATTTAGTAAAAGTATATAAAACCCTGCAATCTTCTTATCTATTACAAATACTAATATTACGTCAAAAAGAATAATCGTCGGTGTGAAAATGGAAGTATTGAACAGATTACCTGCAGATACAAAAAAGGTATATTAAAGAATAAATAAAGGAAGCGTAATCCGAAAGTATTGCGCATTGAACATTGTGTAAAACGGATCTCCGAAGCTTCACTTCCATTTGAACATTCTTTCCTATAAGTTAAAAAGACTAACCAAACTTTTTTAGCAGCACTACTTACATACATATACCAAAAATATTTCATTTATCCCAAGATAATGGAAGTGTAAGATTTATTATCAATGAATATGCTATATTAAAATGATCATCCCTTAATCAGGGTATTGAATAATTAACTATAAAATTTATTTACTATCAGTAATCCTTTTATAAGCCATAAGCTCCTTTATTTAATAGCAAACATTTAGCATATTGTTAATATTCAATAATGCTACCAGCGATATCATTATATCGCAATACTTACTTGCTATTTAAGTATGATATCCAAAAGTATTCGCTAATTGATAAGCGGTAAATGTAAATAAAAGCACCATTATTAATATTGATCGTCTTTTACGAAGACGATAAAAATATATCATGGAAATGAAGTAATTTAAATATGAAAAGAATGATTGTAAGCTTTCTCCATTCATTCATCTAAACAGATTGTTGGTTTATTGTTTATTAGTTTATAAATAATGATATTTGTTTGCAATATACAATTTTTTTTTTTTTGAAACTCGTCAGAATTTCGCCATTATTCAGCACAATATGTTTACTGTTGTATACTAGGAATATTTTAGCAATTTTTTTTTCTTGATAATTTTAGGTTAAATAACAAAAGAGGAAAGAAAAAAAAGTGAAGACACTTTGATTTAACATATTTTCGAAGTAATGTCATCCAAAAAGAGAAAGACAGGAAGAGAAAAAGAACCTATCAATGTTTTCAGTTGTATATTATGAACTTTACTACTATGTGTTTCTCATCTAGAATAATTTCATTCATTTCGCTATCCAAAAAATACATCTTACATGTGACATTCTGTCCCGAAAAAAGATTCCAATATTAAACAATAATTGCTAATTTCAAATATTTTCAAGAGAAAAGAGAATAAAAACTCATTTAAAGTCCATTTTCCATTAATTTCGATAAGAAAAAAAAAGAAAGGCAAACAAACAATGATTTATTGGAAAAAATCAATAGTTACATAATTAGCTAACATCACAAAGAAATAGAAATATAATTACCAAGAAATATATACAATACATACTTTGAAAGGTGATAAGCAAATGTACAAAAAAAAGAAAAGAAAAGAAAAGTGAACCATGTAAAGTTATAATTAGGTAACAGTTAGATATTGGATATGAAACAAATATTAGAATAGCTGATACATGAGATAAAATGGTACATTATTCATTTAAACAGAGCTATATGAATATGATAAGATCAAATGTTTGTTAAAATTTCGCAAATGTCCACATTGAAAATGTCATCAGCTACATCGATAGTATGCAATTTGCAAGTATTCATGTAAATTTTTTGTTCTTCAAATACTAACAAATTCCAAACGAATTTCAAATTCCACCCACTCTTTTGCTTTCTCAGGCACTCATAAACTTAAAATTTTCAAATATTTCCAATGACATTTCGGAAACATCCATGAACTTACGACAATTTTACTTCTGAGTGCTCATTAAATGTGAATATAAGATATGATAATGTTAAATCAAAGTTACCCGCAACAAAGAAAAAAAAGAATTTCGGGTAAAAAAGATCGGGTAAGCTAAACTGAACCTCTCGAACATAACGTAATTGCTGAAAGTATCCTGAGAGAAAAAAATGTTTTGAAATTGATTAATTGCCGCAAACAATGAATGAATTTTGTCATGGATATGGCTTAGATAACAATATGATGCAAAAATGAAAAATGAAAAGAAAAAAAAAAAAATGTATGAATCAGGAGAAAACGATATATTGACAGATTGGGATAAACCGATCGGGTAAGCTAAACTGAACCTCTCGAACATAACGTAATTGCTGTCGACAGAATGGACATGGGACATCATTTTGATTCCTTTTGTGACACTCTAATAATATCTTCATCAGGCAGGTGGAGCAAAGCATATGACTACAACCAAGTTGACGATCCGCAACACATTGCAGGCAAATTTTGCATTCGTCAATATATTCCGGACATTTATAGAGTTGAAGTAACGGTGATTCAGTTGCTGTAATTGTTGCTGCAGAACAGTTAAGTGTGACAGTTTCATTACTGTTATCGGAATTTGAAACGGATGAAACAGCAGAGCTTGCCATAGCTATACCGGTGTTCCTTGACCTCTTCAAAAGTCCAGTTGGCTCCAAACTTAATCGTACGCCACTATAAATGGCAAATAAAAGAACGAAGAAGAAATCAACCTTTAAAATACCAAAAGACCATGTAAATGAGGAAGGATTATGAAATTCCGATGTACGTCTCTCAAAATCAAAGAGTACATGCAAAGTGCATGTATGAATTACCGCTGATGCGGATACTGCCAACGATAATACTAGTAATATTCGATGGGTATGCCGAGAGCATCGGACTAACCAGCCACTTGCCTGAAATCGTCCATTTATCCAATCAATTTCCACTCGTCCTGCTGATACCAGATAGTGATAAAATATAGCACACCAAAAGAATAGCATGAATGAAACACTGGTTAATCCCGTTCGCGCAGCTATTATATTGGTCATACAAAGCTTATCTCTAGGCCATTGAATTAGCACGAATACGTAAAATAGAAATGCAGTAAAGTGACGAACAAATGTTGTCCAGGAAAGTTTCTCGAGAACAGTGAAACTGGCTAAGTTGTTGGAAAGGGTGAAATATTGTAACACTGTTGAGCTCATTAGGCAAATAATGCTGTGACAAATCGATGTATTTTCCAAAAATACCAGTTTTCGAAAAATTTGTTTTCAACAATATTTCAGTAATTGGAAGAAACAAGAGCAAAATATATATCAAAAAAAAAAGCTTATCAGCAGCAGCACATTTTGAATGATTGAATCATCAGTCAAGTGAAATACAGCGAATGAAAAGCTACAGTGTGGTCAAAAAGATGATGAAACGGAAGAGCAGCGAGTAATGGCTATTGATTGTTTCGAAAGTTTACTTCACATTTAGTCAGCAGTAAGTGCATAGCAGCAGCCATCATAAATAACTTGAAAACATGAAAACGAACTGTCATACAACTTTTGTTGACTTCTTTTATACCAAAGATTATGTACAATGACCAAAGATCAACAATAAGCATAAACATTTTCAGAATAACTTATTATAAATTCATGATTTCGTTTTTTTTGAACACTTCAAGAAATTTTCAGCTCAGAGAAATGATTCGGGATTTGAAAAAAAGGGGAAAAACACTACTCTGAGGTTTGACAATGTCACATTTCATTTCTTCCTCTTACTTAGCTCTATCTGTTCCGTCGAAATTAATCAGTATCATCTACTTTAGTGATAGCAAATACCGTATCACTGATGATAAAATTTCTTTCGTAGATGTCAACAATACAATCCTTCAATCTGGACTATTATCGATATTATAATCTCAATATTTTGTAAATCATAAAAGCGCTATTTTGATATAAATGTAAATAAATTAAATATATATATATATATATATATATAATAAACTCAAAATTTCATTTTTTGTTCATCTTCTCATCATCTCACAAACACTCCGTCTCTCCCAAACCCTCGAGCACACAGCACACATACGTATATGCATGTTCTCTCCTTAAGTAGCAGACTTTGAACACCACCATTGTTACGATCAGTATAGGAATAGTACATTTTCATTTTTCACATATAAAAAGTTATTTAAAAGAATTCATCGAACCCATATCTTCTAAGAAAGTAAAAAGCAAACAAAAGAGACGCATGAAATCTTATCAGGATTAGAAAGGATAAAAAGTTTACTAATGGTTTAAACTTACCGTTTATAGGTATCCACAAATGCTCGACAAAGATCTTCGGAGACTTGACGATGATGCCCCATGTCTCGCCTGTTCCCCACGATTAGCACTGGGATATTGCTCGGGACATTGTCCAATTCCTTGACAACATATTCCCATGTCCTGAATTACAAATAAGTACACTATTTATTGTTCCTTACCAACACATTAAGGAAAGGAAAAACAGGATGGAAGAACATTGAAAATATGACATCCATTTAGAGAAGTTCATGCGAGCCATGTCTGAGGTAGAATTACGCTATTGGAAGACTTGCACTTGTCATAACATGATTCTTATATGAAAATTGGTACCAGTTTTTAGTAATATCAAACATGAGTATTACTCCATTCGCGCCCTTGTAAACATCAACGAACTGTGCATCACAAGCAACTTCTATGAACTGAAAAATATAATAAACATGAAGAATATTTTAGCGATAAAAATGATGATATGGATAAATCAATGAACAAGATAATACTTCCGACTCCATATTCCTCAATTTTAAGCCATCTGGCTTTACACGCTTTTTTGTGCTTTGATCAACTACATCCCATACATCTACTTTGACAACGTCATCTGTCACACGATAATTCCATTGTATGGATGCCACCTAAACAAAACTATCATATGTTATAAATCCAGTGAACATCAGTGAACAGTTAATCCAACTTTTTGTTGCAATCATAATTCATGACACACTGTAATTCTCTTTTGAATCGCAAAAGAAAATAAAAAAGTGCATTTCATTAATTCTTTCTGAGAGTACAGTATTAGGATCACATCTACGTATGGTGTGAAAAACCCTCTTGCCTGTATTTCATTAGTCGGTAAATAATCATCCAGAAATGGAAGACCTTGCAGTCTTCGCCAGAGACAAGTTTTTCCAACATTTCGGTCGCCACGTATTACGATTTTCACTGCAATAATAACCGCTTATATCAAACAAACTGATATGATGCAAACAAAGGAAATATGAAACGAACATCCACAAAAGAAGTATTACTTTGATCTGTACTTTAACATTCATTTTCAGAAATTGATTTGGACGTTTCAAATAATTACCAAGAAATCATCGTTAATTTAACTACAGTTCTGTAATAACGAGTATCTTTAAAAAAACGACCATATACGGTCATTTCTTTGCATCATTTATCAACAATATACTTACTGTTATACTGTACTCCTTTCGCATACTTCCTCTGTAATTCCTGATCAAGAGCAGCAATACCATGTGGCATACGTTCAAGTTCATTACTTCCATGACGATCACCATCATCCACTCCACCAAATTTCTTCTTCAAAGCTGATATCATTGCTATATAATACACATATATAATTCAATGCACCACTGTAGTATTCTTATTTTACTGATCGATAAAATAATGCTGGTTGCCAAAATACAAATCCAAGCTTTTTCTTTGCATTTTTGAAATTGTTAATGTTCAGGAAACAATCGAAGAGATTTCTCTATAACTGATTGAATGACATGTCAAAACTAGAAATTGTCTTCTTGAAAATAAAATTTTAGCATATTTATTCGTAAACAAAATATTGGGATATGTGTATTTACATCCTCAAAAAAAAAGAGTTAGTAAAACAAGTGATCAAATTTTTCCATTTCATTTATCCGATGGCTGTTATCGATGCGACATTTATCTGATATAAGGGAAAATATTCCAAATGCAAACTCAAATCATTTGCAATTCCCATATCACAATTAACAGGATTGAGAAAAAAAAAAACAACAACAACAAAACAAAAAGTACATCCAGAAACTTTCCATCTTTGCTTAAAATATTTTTGTATCGATTAATGAAAAAATATATCACTTATTAGAGTAAACGTTCAAATTATCAATGAGAGCAACACAATACATTGAACACTTTTTTATTTTGGAAATTCATAACAGGAGAGAAAAAAAAAGTAATCAAAAAGGAATGAGATATATTTAAACCCATAATGCAAGCATATACAATTTCCATGTTTATGTTTACATTATCGTAATGCAAACATATATACAGGAAGCATTCCTTTCGGAAAATTCTGCTGCTTCTTCTCGACCATTAATGTAAGACCAACATTTCGAAAAAGTTCCAATAACGCATCCTTAGGACGTGTCCAACTGTTATCTTCTTCATCGAAATCATACCGATCTTCCGAGGATGAAACGTTTTCCTTTAGAATGATACAGCCATTCTCTTTCAAGCCTTCCTGCAAAATGCTTCACGTCTAGTTTATGACAATACAAACTTTATTTCTGTATCCAATGTCAAAGAAAATTAGCTACCAAAACCTTTTCCATTCAAAGATGAACAAACTGAAGCTCACAGCTTTTCTTTTATCTATTCGTTGATGTAAATGTTTTATTCAAGTCCAACTCCATCCCTATGAATGAACATCCTATCGATGTGTGATTTGGCGAATTAGAAATACTGTTTGGATGAATATATGCTGCGATCTAATGGCCCTATTAAAAGTAATCAGCTTCGTAACATACATTCATTCAAACAAATTTAGAAGTAATCATAGACGATATAGCAAACAATTTTTTTGCGCGGATCCGCCAACAACAATGTATAAGGACAAAATGAAACGCGTTATGTTTCTGTCCGAAATGTTACGACAAAGCGTCAAAACAACTAAATGAAACTACTCGAGATTCCATGGATTTTGGCTTATCATAATTTTGTATCAATTCTGGGTTCACTTTTGACCTCTAGCTAGTCAGCAATCAAAGCTTACCTTACATCGTTGGAGGAATTTAAAAAAATCGCTATTAGTTAAATGACCAGTAACCCACTGTATCCATATAAGATCATAATGACAAGATAATGGCTCGAATTGTTGCAAACTGCATACGAATTTATTACCAATCCGACTGTTTTCTTTGCCAATATAGTTGGCAGATTCTGGAACAATCTCTAAAGGTAACCTCGACATCTGTAGGATAATTCAACGCTCAAAAATTACCCAGTTTTGTACAATCGTTTCATAGTCGCTACAATATAGACTATGAACTAATATTACTACTACTCAAAAGTCATTGTTGCTTAACAGTCGTTACCACTCAGAGTAATGTTGTTGTTGTTATCAATCAGGAACAGATACTCTATACCAGTCAGTAAAAAAGTACTATTATCTTATCGCTCACTAGAAAGTACTTTGATGCTGCAATCATTCATTAACAGCTGATAAACATTTTAAAGAAAAATTACGGAAAAATCTTATAACAAAATAGTACATGAGAGTTTATTGAATAATAGAGTCACAAAAGTATAAGCAGAAATCAAAATCAGTTTACCTTGAATGAAACTTTCAGTGACATCTACCATATCCACCGATTCAAACAATGGTAATAAGAGATGTTTAGTAACACGTCCTATGCCACATCCACAATCAACAGCTCGTTCAAAATTTGTTAGCATTCCCTAAATAAAGTGGCATTTACAAAATTAATTTACTTCCAACAAATGAGACAAAAGATTTTGCTTTACTTCCGGTATAGAGTATGCTTTCGGGTATTTCCTAACATGAATCAAAATATACTAAAAGGAAAACAAGATATACTACCTTCACCTGTACCATTTTTTAATAAAGGATTGCTGAATGTGTTAATGGGGTCATGCATGTGCTGACAAAATATCTCAATAATAAATAAACGTCAAAATGAACTTTAGCTTTCAACAAATTAATGAATTGTTTCGAAGCATGAATGTCGGGTACATGAAGATGGGCAAAGCCTCCAAGCATACCATGCACATTACAAGATACCGATGCCCAATACGCTTTAGCCTGAAATAACTCATTTTGAAATAAACACATCATTAATCTGTTGGAAGTAAAAACTTGATAATTAGCATGATGCAGATATCATTTGTTTGTCATCATTATCTCGCTCAACAAAACCAATTAATAAAAAAAAAGGCAAGCATAACAATAAAATAGTAAAAACCGGAATTTGAAATGTTTTCTTTGGAAAGTTAAAGTCACACAATTTATAAAGTCACATAATTTATAAAAACTCTTACTAATGTCGGTTAAAGATTGCAATATGAACATTTATTCATTGGCTTAGCTCAACACTACATTGTAATATTCATAAATTATATTATCTACGAAATAAACAAATGAAACAAGACTTAATGGAATAGAAGATCGATGGAATAAAATGGAGCATATGGCAAGATATGATAAATTACGATTAGAAAATGATAACATAGGATTAGGTAGATAAGACAATATTGAATAGGACTGTATAAGACAAG